GATATTATACATACCATTCTGCTTGTCAGTATTGCTTACATCAATTCCTGGCCACTGACAATCCCTTCTTCTGATATTCAATGTATAACATACAAATTGACTGTTGAAGGTACTCAAAGAAATTCCAAAATCTTCACAATCCACTTTTAAGTGCTAATATTAATGTCATTGCTTCCTTTATTTATTGAATTGTGATTAACATTTCATTGCTCTCATGGAATTACATAATTGTTGCCTAATGTAGCCAATGAATGGAGCAATATGAGGTTGTAATATGTCTTTTACATAAATATTACTCCAAAGCTTATTTCTTGTACATATCTGAAAACAGAAACTTCTTTTATATATATATATATATATATATATATATATATATATACACACGTTATTATATACCATAGCATATTTATCATCAGTGATATTCAGCGGCATCTTTTGTTTTAAATGTTAGAATAGTGGATACAGATATTGAGAATCTGGCAATTTTGAGAGATTATTTTAAACTGAAACCACTCAAAAAAAAAGTCAAGAATTCAAGTAAGGTAAAATAACATTAGACCATCGTTTCTAAAACAGCTTCAATTCTTTTAAAAGTGACATTTTGGCCCTTTTGTTTCAGATGCTTAACGGCTGATACAAGTATTGGGAATCTGGAAATTTTGATGGATTATGCTAAACTGGACATCAGAACTGCTGAAGTCACTCATAAAACTCAAGAATTCAAAAAGAAAAGAATATTATATCTGACCATCCTTTCCAAAACTGCTTCAACAGTTTTAAAGTTAGAGACTTGTCACTTAAATGTCCAAAAGTTGACAATCTCTAGTTGCCAATGATGAAGTTCTCAAACCCTGAAGTAGATGACAATCCACAGACAAGCATTTGAAAACTTACTAAAAAAAAGAGGGGGAGGGTCATCAAAAGATAGCATATAAAGATAAAAAAAAATATGTTTGCGGAGTGAAAATCCTAATATAATTTAATGATGATTCTTTGAAGGAGGCAAAAAATCTATCCTTCCTTATCTTGGGTGAATGACATTAATATTTAGCCTAAGTTATCTCACAGAAAATAAATGAATATTAAATGATCAACTTGTTCATATTGTAATTGTTATATGATATATCATGTTAGATCAGTTTATATATTAAATGTACAATCAAAATTTTAACTTCTAATCATGTGAATATGCATTATATACTGTGCCATAATGTCATCATTAAAGTGAATGAATGGTCTGACATGTTTAATCATATTTTACATTGAAAATTCTATAACAATGTATTTCTATAGTAATACCATTTGTAATGCAGTTCTATAGTATCACCATCTGTAATGCAGTTCTATAATGTTGTAACCTAGAAAAGGTTACTGAATGAAGAATAACCAAAATGGAGGTTGGAAATGAAATGGTAATCTTTATAACATCAACAAAATACAATACTTGTCAGCAGCAGGAAGTAGGTAAATGAATGCTAATGATGGACTACTAAGACAGCATATTACCCCTACTTACAATAGTGTCCAATGTATTTATAAGGATTGGGACATACCCATTAGTTTTCATAGGTACGGTATATAACATATCGTAATGCCATTTGCAATCCAGCTTGACCATCCAGTATGACCATCTGCAATGTAGTTCTATAGTATGACCATCTGCAATGTAGTTCTATAGTATGACCATCTGCAATGCAGTTCTATAGTATGACCATCTGCAATGTAGTTCTATAGTATGACCATCTGCAATGTAGTTCTATAGTAATACCAACTGTAATGCATTTATCTATATGCTTTTAATTTTTTCTACATTACTGTATATGTAATGATGAGGCAAATATGAGAAATGTTTAGCATTTCGGATTGAGGAATTGGAGAGAGCAGAGTTCAAATTCCAGTCAAGTTCATTACATTCTCTTACATGCTAATACCCTTGGGAAAGGTACGAATCCATCACTTACTCCTAGAATTCAAACCTACCTGAAAAGTGTTGGTCTCCACCAAGCTGTCTTGCTCATGAAACACCACTGGCTGCAGTCAATGTGGTACCCCAATAACCTGAGGGGTTA